ACATTCAAACTAGCCAATTAATGGGCTCCATCCCGCTCTGGGTTCCCCAGGCCCACTGGCAAAACCAGGTCTTCAGCGCCTTCCGAAAGAGTGTTAGAGTGAGGGCCAGACTAATCTCTAGGGGAATGATGTTCCAAAGAGAGGAAGCCACCACAGAGAAGATCCTTCTTCTGGGTCCCGCCAGATGTATCTCCTTAGGGGACGGGACCCGCAACATTTCTTGCCTCCCTGCTCTAGTGAGTTGGGTAGATGTTACTGGCAAGAGACAGTCCCTCAGATAACCTGAAGTATCACTACAAGGTATTAATTTCATTATTTGCTTGTAATTGATATAAATGGTTCATTCTTACAGATCAAAGTTTGGGAATATGAATAATTGTTCCCAGCAGATCCAACCAGCCTGAATGTGGTAAAGAATGCTTGATTTTGACCAAATCATTTTCTCATGCAAACTTTGTTATTTCATCCTACATGGACAACTTACTCTGGCATGGAATAGGATAGGAAGGTAGCAAATTGCAATAAACATACTATGGCAATCCCACAATCTACCTAGAGAGACATTTACATAGCAATGAATATACATAAGATTGATTAGATGTCACTTAATTGTACTTTTATGTGCAATAGAATGGAATTACATTTGAGAGCTATAACAACTTCCTGTCATTAGAAACAGGAAAATCTGATGAAGCTTATGGTTAGTTTTGTAACAACACCACTTAACAATTTATATTTGAGTGAGCTTATGAGTTTTCCCAAATAGCTCATAAAAATAAGCAAACAAGGAGCTCTTCCAAGGAATCATGACTGAAGCAAAAGGGTTTTTTTTTTTTTTGGTGCTATTCTGCAGTTCTTAGATTCTTTATTTTCCATGTGACCTAAGCTAGTGATTATCTATTTACATACTTGTGGTTATTTGATATGTCAAGGTTGGTTAAGCTAGAAACAAACTGCAACTAGGATCCAGCCATGGTAAGACAGTATTCCATACACGGAAAATAAATTAATGGTCAGATTTGGAGCAGGTGCTCAAGAGGAAAATCTGTTGTGACAAGATGTATTGACAGAGAAGTGCATAATACATAAACACCATACTACTCTGTTTTGAATAAACAGAGGGAAATGGATGTGATTGTTAATATGTTGTAGAAACAATAGCAGCCATTCTATATTTTGCAGTCTCTCACCATTATCAATAAGCTTAGAAAAACTGGAATAGGTTACTGGTTGCTAATTTAGAGTAGGATACCTTAAGTAAGTATGGTCATAACTGATGCATCTGTCAATGCTGAAAGTAGGTTCCCCTGGTTTAGCCACACCTCCAGGAGACCCCTCCCCTCCACAAAACAACTTTTTCAAGAAGAAGCATGACCCTATCCAGCACAACATCCCAGAGCAGATATTACAAGATTACCCTGATGTCTATTGCTATCAAGCAATATTTGATAACATGAAATATAAATTTGTTTTACCAGTGCTTTTTTTCTTAAAAAAAAAAGGGCGCCGGAACTCATTCACATCATACAACCTGCCTTGCCTACCCTACAAGGTTCCATACAAAAAAGGTGCCGAACTCCGTTCTGGGCGTTCTATGAGGAAAAAAAGCCCTGTGTTTTACCCCATCCAGATCCTTGCAGCTTCCAGACAGATTCAAATTCAGGACATATCTAGCTTGGCCATTCACAGTAATATATAATTAGGTAAGCTATCATATTATGACAAAGGGAAGGTGTTAATGTCTTCCATTATCATGTCATATGCTTTAAAGGAAGAACCAGTTCAAGCATATGACCAGTTCTGCGAGTCAGGGCTGCAATTCACTATTTAAAGCCAATCTTCACCATGGAGACCATATACTCATGAAAAGTTACATCCTAGTCTTGGGATGCAGCTGGTGTAGAACCAGAAACCCAGCTAGTCAAATGAGGATAAGATATATCCTCGTAATCATCCAGCCACATCTCATAATACATACCAAGTTTGTGAATTCTTCCACTAACATGTTCTGAATTGATACAGTATTATTCTGCATTTATCAAAGGCACCTAATGATACAAAATGTATACTTGTATTCTGTTTATATTTGTATTCATTGCATATATATTATCCACAATATATTTTTATTCTATTCCATAAATATATCTTTCTATTATCAATTAATTATCTATTACTAAATAATAATAATTATTAACTAATTAATTATAAAAGAGGAGCAAAGGAAAAAAAAAGATGAAAGTGGAAGAATACAGGCTAAACTATCAATTGGTACCCCAAGAACTGATCAAAAAGAAATTGCCTGGGGGAAACATCTATGTATCATGGCTGCATGACAAGTACAAATAAACTTGAAAAAGAAACTGAAAACTTCAGAGAAGAAGAAAATGTGCAAGACTGGAACAGTGCGCAAACATTTATGATGAAAACCAACACAGATATTATGGTCCACTGAGTATAAAAGTTGGAAGCAGAACACTGGAAAGCTGTGATTCATCTAAAAGCTGTTTGAAATCCCGCAATGTCCTTTTTTCTTATCTGGTCAGTAGATGAAAAATATTTTCTCTCTTTTCTCCCTTTTGCAGGGTATATAGTTTGTGTGTGGCGGGTGAGGAAAGTTTGTACAGAAGAATACATTCCAATAAAGCAGCTGAAACACCCTTTTCTTACCCTAAGGACAGAACAGAATTGTCCTTTTCCATTCTTCTTACTCTATTTTCCCTCATCTAATTACCAGTCCCTCATCGTCTTCAACAAAATCCTCTCAAAACAACCTCTACGCGGGTGTGAGCTCTACTATATTTGATTACATTAAACACTCACTTTCAGCCTCTAATTCTCTAGCACTTTCTTCAGCTCTTCCATTCTAATATTTACCTTTCTCTCACTAATAATCTAACCACCCAAAGTAAATACTTACTCTACTATTCAGCAACTTAATCCTTGACCTAACTAAGCTATAACTAAGTCTACATGCCAATTTTAAAAATAGTATGAACAAATGTTATTAATTTCTTTATATATTTTTGTCTTGCGGTATTCTGAACATTCTGTTCAAATCAAATGATATTTTTTCTCTTACTTATTTTTAGCTTGCTCCAAATCATATCTGATCCATTTTAATACTTTTTAAATTAGCATTTCCATTTTTTCTGAGTCTCTTTTGCAGCTTTTAAGTTTTAATATCAGTCATAAGTTTGATCTTTATATTATAGGGCTGCTAAAAATCCATTAGATGACTTTCTAATTTCTCATGTGAAATTTGGTGGGTTTTTTTTTTTTTCAAATGCAGGACATTTTGAATACTAACAGAACTGTGCTCTAGCTTATAACAGGTATGCCTGCCTGCTTTTTTTTTTTAAAGCAGCTGTTTCTAGAGAATCCTTTACTTTCAGTTCTTTTTATCTGCACCATTATGCAAGAAATTCAATGCTTTTACTGCATTTGCTCCTTCTCCCTACTGTCTTTCACCCGGTCTTTCACCTTTTCTCTAGTAACTTACTATTTTATAGTCCATTCTGTTGATTACTTTAATTGGTATACACATACAGTATACTGACATAAACACACATATACATATGTGCATGTGTGAATGTGTAATAACAATTATTAGTATAAGCTAATATTAGTAAAGTATTAATATTGGCTAATGTTAGTAAATAATTAGCATTAGTCTTTGCATTTGTACCTGCACGCCTCCAATGCAGACATTGAAAAAAGTGAAATCTTAATGAGAACTAATTTCTATTTTATTTACTCCATATGCAAAAAGGAAAAGGTTTTAATTCAGTGGTAAATATTTTGCCAATGATCCAAGTTTTAGTCCCAAGCAACCATATGTAAGAGAAGAGGAAAGTCTTGTTTTAAACCACAAAGAATCATTGGCAATCAGAATTATATTAGGTTAGAAGCTGCCTAAAATATCCCCATGATGATAGGCAGTAAATACATTTAACAAATAATAATAATAAAAAACAGATCTTTTGTTCTAAACCACAACTGTTTTGTTGTTAAAAAAAATGAGATAAGGAAATATTGTGTGTTCAACCTTGAGCTCCTGAATAAAACAAGAATATGAATCTAACAAATATAAGAATACTGTATTTTATTTTGTTTCTAGGCCTAATTAATTAGTAACACTTACATTAATTACCATCATGAATCAGGATTAATCAGGGAAACACATAGTAAGGTATTTGTAAAGGCCAATTTTCCACTTGAAACTTCTGTTATAACTACTGTACATGATTCAAAAAGTAAAAGCTATAGTTGACTATATCATGCAAAGTATTCTTTTTCCATCCTCTAAACTACGCAATGTTTCCCGTTTCTGTTTTAAGTCTCCTGGTGTATGTAAATAAAGCATCTTTCAGAAAAAAAAAACCCCAGAAGGATCAACAAATAAACAAGGAACAAACAATTGTTAATTGTTTACAAAACAATTTCTTTGTCAGCAAAAGTTCCTTAAAAAGGGATTCTGTGATATGTGCTTTTATTTGAGGTTAAATTAATAAAATACTTCATGCACATTTTTTCTTGATAATTCTACTTATGTGGATTTAAACACAATTTTCATTAATTCAAGAAAAGGAAACAATTTACTTTCAGGATAAACAAGAAACAATACCTAAGATTTCTGATAAATTGTAATATAGTTTGATAAACTAAGAAGCATTTTGATTATATTCTTTTTTCACTTTTTTTCGAAAAAAATATAAGAACACATCTTATGTTCCAGACCTTATTTCTGTATGCTGCTATTTAGACTATCCATTAAAAGCAATTAGTTCATTAAAAAATCAGTAAGTGATCTTCCATGGTTCCCTAACAAAGTTGAAGCTTTATTATATTGGAAGGTTTATAGAAAGCTAGTTCATCATAAAAATGGGTTGGCTTGTCAAGGATTCAATCAAAACAAGGTCTTAGCACTTTATTCATTGGCCAAGTATCTCCCCCATAAATGACCTTCCCAGGAAGAGAGATTATTTAGTAGGGGCAGAGCTCAACCATTCTACTTTCTGAACCATCTGAAAGGAACAACAGATAGCAAGACAGAAAGCAGGATTCAGTTGGTCATGAATGACCAGGAGCTGTATCTTTGAAAACTTCTTCAGAAGGTAAGATAACACATTCCTTTCTGTAATCTAGTGGGCTATTCTTAATTTGTTTACAGAAAAACATTTTTCTTTTTGCCACAGAAAAATCCTTATATTTTAGACATACATTTGATATAATTGTTTTCTTCAGAAAGTCAGTAAACCTGAACAAATGTAATCACTTTTGTCAATTGCTTTAATTCCTAAATTTAATGTTTTCTTCCACATCATTTCGCCTTGTTTGTATCTTTGTTTTCCTTATTGTTCTCTTTCATCCATGTGATTATATTAACCTTCTTTAGCATTTTATCACAAACCTGCCATGTTTTTATCTCTTTTTGTTTTAAAGTCCCAGTTATATTTGGTCTATCAATTCACTCAGTATTCTTTAGAACTAATTACCTTCTGCTATTCAATTTATAATTAACTTTCTACATCATTTTGAAAATCTTCCATTTTTCTCTTCAAGAAATGCTATATATTCAGCTGAAAAAAATATAAATAGAACTTTGGAACCATTGCAAATAAACAAGTACTCCCAAGATATTACTGATAGAGAACTTCTCAAATTAATTTATTTAGACATTTCAGAGAACAACTATTGGAACACAATAAAAAGAAATTATGACTAATCAAATATCAGAATATTATAATGTACAAACAGGCCACATATGTTTTCTATTACATAACAATTACTTCTATTAGCTTTCCATTAAGGTGTCATATTTAGCCTAATTAAGTATGTTGATATGGCTGTAATCCTATATGTAGTTTACTGGAATTAATTCCCACTAATTCAATGGGATTTAGTTTTAAATAAATATGCTTTAGATCGCACTATCAGAATCTTAATTTTTGAAAGGATTCTTCTTTTTCAATATATTGTATTTATTAAACAGTCATATTTTCATCAAACGTTTGCTGTGTTACCTTCAATGAATCTAATTTAGCCTAATGGGATCATTGTTTTACCACTATCAAGCTCATTTTGCAAGAACACATATAAAAGCATTTTCAGTCCACTCTGGTGAAAACTATTCTACTTTTTAATCTGCCTATTAGATTTGTTATCTTATATAAATACATTAAAAAGATATGTGAAGTTTGGTCATTAAACTTCAGATTCTCCTTGGTATTCCTTAAGAATAATTCCTTTCAAAATGTCCTTCCAAAATTTCTTAAAGAGTGTTTTAAGGTTGCAGCCTCCCAAAGCATTAAAAAACTGCAGTCTAAAAGAACCTAGTTAAAACTCTACAAATATACTAATGTTTGTTATTCAGGGAAACTGGGATCTTAAGGTTCCAACAGTGTTCAATTGAACTAAATCACAAAATAATTAGAAGTAACACATGCAAATATGCACAAATATACACATATAATAGCAAAAGTTATTATTTGTAACTATAATTACAATTATAATTTTAACAAATATTTTTATTTTAACAAATAAAAAATTAACCAGATGGTGAATCTTAAATCATAACTTTCATTTAAAATTCTTCAACCCCGTAGACTCTTGCTTTAGAAATTTTGTCTCTATTGTTGAAGGAAAGTTTTCATCACGGTTCAGTCCAAGCCGGGGATAAACAAAATGGTGACTGTTTTAGAAAGAAGGTTGCAGTTTATTGAAGAGGACAGCCAGACAGAAAGATGGCTCTGGAAGAAGAGAGAGAGAGAGAGAGAATCACTATTTCTTATTTTCCCTTTAAGTACATTTATTTAGCCAAATTGATTCCCAGCAAAGGCCTGAGCAAAGTCCATTTTTTAAATAGTTTCTCTACCTATCTCTTTTTCATACCTGCCTGAACGGGTAGCTGATTCCCCTCCCAGGTCTCAAGCAAGCTTTACTGGGGAGCATATCTCAAACCTTGAACTAGAACACCCCATGATTCCCTTATTCCTGATGCAGGGGTTCACTTTGGTTCTATCAGGTCTGGCGCACTGAAGCCTCCTAGTGAGACTTCCACCTCCCACCACAGTTTTGGGTCAAAAAGGGACAATGGAGCACTCTGGATCCCTCACAGAGTTCATGATGCTCCTTTAGGGATCTACCACCATGGTTTCAGACTAAAAAGGGGTCTGTCAAGGACACTTCTGCTCCCCCAGCAGAAGGTATGGGACACTCTCTTATTGGCTTTACCTTCACTTTTCACCATCCCTGTTTGCAGAATTCAAATGTCTGGGAGGACCTCTGCTTGCTTTCCAGAGGTAAGGGACACTCCTATCCTGGGTCTTAATTTCCTAACTTTGCTTTGCTTTGTTTACAGGGCTTTACCAGCTGATTGCCCAAATCCAATACTCTCATTCACTCATTCCATTCCATTTTCACACAGCCTTTCCCTTTTCCCTAACAAAAGGTCTTGTCCTCTGGCCAAACCCCCATGCTTTCCAGGGTCTGCCACTTGAACAGATCCTTTCTGCGGAAAGGTCAGAGGGAGCAAAATCCAACTGTGATTGGATTTTCTTACTCGCACATAGAGACATACACACATTTCCTTTGTTCCCCTGGGCTTTAAAGTTAAAATTTAGAGGTACTCATCTTCACCTTCTTTCCAAAGCAGCCCTTGAGCTCAAACTCAAAACTCCCTTTACTACCCTGGCTCCACATGGGCAGGGCCTGGGAAACCCATCCACAGACCCAAGGGGTCTGCTGCTGACAAGATGGGGCTTACCAGTCTCAGTCCATTGGAGAGGTTAGCTTGGAGTCCCATCTGGGTGCCAAATTGTTGAAGGAAAAGTTCTCATCATGGTTCAGTCCAAGCTGGGGATAAACAACATGGTGACTGCTTTAGAAGGAAGGTTGCAGTTTATTGAAGAGGAGAGCCAGACAGAAAAATGGCTCTGGAAGAAAAGAGAGAGTGAGCACATGTAGGGAGTAGGTTTGTATACCCTCTGGAGCCCTTTGTTTGGAGTTGTTCCTGTGGCATGAACTTTGACCTGAGACTGAGTGTGCCTTTCTGGTATTCTGATGGTGGTGGGTTAATCCTATTATGTTCTAAGGGTCATATCCTGCTTCCCTGGGGCTGGGGCAGATTACTCTTAGATTTTTGGTGTTGATTCTAGGGATCTTTCTTCCTAATCTCAGTTTCTTGACTCCAGTCTTTCTGCCAAGATTATCATCTGCATTTTGCAAACTTGTTTTCTGTTTGGGGCACAGAGACTTGGGGGTTGGTTGGTTTTTGCCTTTAAAATCCTTTAGGGAAATATGTTCTGCCTTTTAAATATTTCCAGAAATATTTCTTTCTCGGGCGGGGGGGCTGACTTCCCACACTATTTATGCCTTCAATTCAGTCTTAACTTTGTGTAACTTTGTGTATAGGTCCACATAGCCTTCTTACCAGCTTTTTCAGAAGTGGCTTGCTGTTTCATTCCTAGGGCTAAGAGAAAGTAGATGGCCCAAAGTTACCAGCTGGATTTTTAACTAAGGCAGGGTGAAAGGAATCCATATTGTCCCAGTTTCTAGGTTTAACCACTAGACCAAACTGGCTTTCTATTTTGGAGTAAACAGTAGATTCAGTGAGTCAGACCTCTGAGCAGAGATGAGTAGGACTGGGCACTGGGCTAGAAAATAGGAGTCCATGAGTTCTAGTCCTGCCTTAGCCATGAAAGCCAGCTGAATGACTTTGGGCCAGTCACTCTCTCTCAGCCCAACTCACTTCACAGGGTTATTGTGGTGGGCAAAATAAGAGGAGGAAGGTGTATTGGGTATTAGTGTTAGGCAGCACAAAGAAACAACAGCCTACAACTTAACAGCCAGCCATCAAAACCCCAATCAATCAATTAAAAAACCCACACACACAACTAGGCACAACATAAATACTAGACATTCTGGTAGAAAGAAGTTCCCCAAGGATGGTTTCCAGCAGGATTCTGAAAATCTTTGGTCCCAGTGACTGACCTACACTGGATCCTGCAATATTACATATGTTCGCCCCCTTGAGTTATTTATAAAAATAACAAAGGTGGGATACCAACAACCAAATCATGTAAATGAAAGATATATTAAATGTGAACCTATACAGATATATTCATGCTATCTCAAATTAAACATGGAAAGAATGAGACTATTGTGTTCCATCCTAATCGTTCCATCTATTTCTCTTTCTATCCCATCTATTTTGGTTTTCAGAACTGCCAGCTGTGAGACTCCTCAGTGAGGAAGAAGTGAAGAATCCAACCTTATTTTCATCATAGCCCCACTGACGCCCGCCACTTAAGGAAGAATCCAACTTTCTCCCACGCGCGGTCCGCTCTTTTCGGCTTTCCTGCCTGCCTCTCGCTCCCCCCGTGGGCGTGTCGCGCCAAGCGAGCAGTCGGCGGGAGGGGGTTCACTTCGGAAGACGAGCTTAGAGTGTTTCACAACTTCCTTCCTTTCATGTCCTGGTTCTTAGGTTGCTTCCTGAAGTCCCGCCAGCCACGACCACGCTAGCCATGCAGCGCTCGATCTTGAAGTTGTTTCAGAGCCGCGTCCAGAAGCAGCAGTCCGTTGATTCTAGCGATGGGGTAGTGAGCGAAGGCGACGCTTGTTCGGTGGCCTCGCAGGATATCTTTAAGGTAAGGTGCCTGCGGGCAATACCCATACAGCTGCCTCTGGGAACCGGTGGAAAACGAGAGGGAAAGACGGGCGATCTTGAGTGGCTTGTTCAGACCAAAACAAAGAGAGCGCTAGGGGCAGGGATGCCGACCGCGCCGGGAAATGGGAAGAGATAGGACCAACACCTCTGCAGAAGAGGTGAAAAAGACAGCAAGCCAGAGCCCATCTTGCGCTGGACTCCTGACCGATTCTTAGGATCATGGAGAAAATTGAGGGGTCGTTTAGCTGTGTACTCTTTCGTCCTGATTCTCTCCGTCCGCTCTGTATTTTAGAACCGGCTTCTTCAGTTGTCTTCAGATTTTTTTAAAAAAAATTCTATAGTTTGGTGGACAATTGGGGACTGATACCCAACCCATCTGGAAAGCTCTAGTTGGACCATCTGGTCCTTATTCAGGTAAAAGAAGAATGTTGTATTTTGTGATCTAAATGGGCCCAGGTACTTTGATTCTGTGTTAGATACAGGAAAGCAAATTTCAGGCTTCCAAGATCAGTTTTCTGTTTTGGAGGCCAGTGTTGAGCTCTTCCACCTAAAGCCAAAAGTAATGGCTTAGAATAGGGAGTAAAACTTTCACTGAGCTGCAAAATTTACAAATGATTTGTCACAGATAATACTGCATCTATTGAATTCAACACAACATTTTGAAACTGGCAAGAAGTGCTGGAAGATGACTCAGTGATTGCATGAGCTATACATTAGTGAAACACTGAAAATTAAACAATTAGCAGATATGTATTTTCTTACCATTTTTACTAAGGTATAAATCAATGGATTAGAAAACTAGTGCAATTCACTCAAAAATCCTTCAATGCTTGTTTTAAATTAAAATCAATTCTTGGCTGAAACGTTCCAATTTGTATTCAATCTAATTGTAATCTTCCATTGGGCTTCCAGTGTTCTTGGCTAACCGTTTTCATTGTTGAGTTACATAGGACAAGCTGAGCATACTTAATTTTTGTCCCAAGTCTTCTCAGAATACTATTAATATTAAATATTAATAGTCAATTAAATAATTAATAGTCAATAGTAAATTACTTATTAAAATATTCTAGAGAATTCTGATAAGCATCCTAAGTGTCCATTCCAACTTTATGGATAAGTAGATGTGTCTGTATTTATGTTGAATTTTCAACTACATATATAACATTGTAGGGAGAGTGGATTATAATTTGAATTATACATTCTGACCAAAAAAAAGCTAAAGCACTGAAAGATTATTTTTTTTCCAAAATGTAATCTAAAATGAACTTCACTTATCTTCACTTACCTTCACTTTTTGCCATTTATACTGGTAACAGCTGGAATTTTTGTTTTCTTAATATAATACATTGTAATGTCCTATACCTCATGCTAAAATATAGCTTTTTCCGCAATCTAATTGTTATATTACTTAGTATTTCTTCAAATATGCATGAGTGTAGAAATTTAATACTTTCTGGGAGAGATGCTACCTAGGTGGAGTAGGCCTCACTCAGCAGAACTATTTTCATGTTCCCAGGACCCTTTTAGACCTAAATAAAATAAACTGTACTAATTAGATTAAAAGTCATCTTAAATAACTGCAGCTCTGCTATTAGTATAGTAGATGAACCTTTGTAGTGATGAATGAATATTTAACTAATAATTCATTGCCAACATCTTATATAATAAAGAGCTACTTAGAAACATTGATATAATTTGGAATTTCTGTGGAACTATACTAAAATTGCTTAAACCTCAATTAGGTGGTCTCTGATGGAAATACTTCCAGACTTCGAAGTTTAATTAAGAAGAATCGTAGAAGACTTAAGAAACTGGATAGGCTGAATGCTACGCCATTGCACCATGCTGCAGGAAATGGTCAACTTGAGTTAATGCAAATGATCATGGATGGTTCTTCACCTGAAGGTACCAAAATGCAGTTGTGGTTAAGGCTGAATGCAAATTCAGTAACTCAGAAGGACAGTGAAGCGTATATTTGTCATGTATCATGCTAAGTGCTGTGACCTAATCAAACATGATCATTATTAATAACATACTGTTGGGTTACATCATTCTGCTGCATTCAAAAAATGGCTGTTTATGCATGTATCTCTCTATGTGCACCTGCAAACTCATATTTATTTGAAACGTTTTGTGATTAAAGAAACTAATTATAAGGAAATTGCTTCATCTAAACACAGACAGGTACTGTATGTTTTTCTCCAAGCATTCTTCCCTTGCAGATGTTCTAAACCACAGGTGTCAAACTCACAATGTCACATGACGTATCTTGACATATCATGACTTTTTGCCATTGCTGACAATGGGATGGGAGCAGTTTCGCTATGATGCATCCGGCCTGCAGGCCGGCAGTTTGACCCCTTTTCTAAACTTATCAGAAACATAGGCAAGGGAAGAGTGATTGATGCATAGCTGTCTATGTTCAGATGAAGCAACTTTCTTCTAATTAGTTTCTTTAATTACAAACTTTTCAAAGTTTGCATGTGCACATAGATGGTTACTACTAAAATGGGAAACAGTGATTTGCACCAATCATAGTTTGATCCATGTAAAATATCCCAATTGGGAAGAACAGAAGCTTTAAAAAGGAAAAGGAAAACCATACAAGTTATCTCAATCTTCTGAAAAGTTCCCATCTGACAGGGTCTGGAAATCAACAAGTCCAAACAATGCAATCTGTTGAATAATCATCATGCTTTGTATATGTTATTGCTACAGATGGTGCAATGTTTCTTCATTAACATACTTTTAGCCATTGCTTTTGCTATTGCTCCAAATTTAAGGAACTGGGTAAATTGTTTCTATAACCAAAGCTATGTATTTAGTGGAAGTCCAGTTGTTAGCATATTGTGGAGGTCTTTCATTTTAAATGTTTGCATATTTTGCAGCACTCAGGAAATAGCTTTTTAAATTCTGATTATCTAATTGATATTGGAAGCGGACTATTAGAGAGGGATTGTAGCAGAAAGATAACATTTCCTTAACAGAATAGAGGAGTGTATGGAATTTAAACTTTGTGATACATGCAGTTTTGCAAAAGAAGCAAACAAGAAAAGAAAAATAGTTGACATCTGGCTGAAGCACCTCACAGAGTATTGCTCCTGGTGTTTGATGTGACATAGCAATAGCTTTTGGATGGAAAATTAGAATATATTCACAAATACATATACAGGTAGTTCTTGACTTACAACTATTTGTTTAGCAACCATTCAAAGTTACAATGATGCTAAAAGTGATTTATGACTGGTCATCACATGTATGACTGTCACAGCATCTCTGTAGTCATGTGCTCACAATTTGTGTACTTGGTAATGGCACTTATTTATAGCAGTTGCAGTATCCTGGGATCATGCGTGATCACCATTTGTGACCTTCCCAGCCAGTTCCTGATAAGCAAAGTCAATGAGAAAATTTGGATTCACTTAATGACAGTGTGATTTGTTTAATGACCATGGCAAAAAAGATTGTAAAAGCAGGGATGGTCACATAATGAATCACATAACCACCGCATCACTTAGTGATGGAAGTTCTAGTCCCACTTGAGGGCGTAGATTGAGAATTACTCTATTTACAACTCAAATTCATGTAGAATGAAATGCACCTACTGGTCTTTTGAGAACATATTACAAGCATGCACATACATTTGATGGTTTAAATGCAGAATCTTGAGAATACATACAGAATAAGGTTTCTGCTCTAAAGCTAGTCTAAAGAAAAGAAGAAATAGGGGAAACATGATAGCAGTGTTCCAGCATCTGGAACAAGGCAGAAGGGGCCAGGTTATTCACCAGAGCACCAGAGGGCAGGACAAGAAACAATGGTTGGAAACTGATCAAAGAGAGAAGCAACCTGGAATTAAGGAGAAACTTCCTGACAGTGAGGACAATCAACCAGTGGAACAGCTTGCCTCCAGGAATCGTGGGCGCTCCATCACTGGAGATTTTTAAGAAGAGACTAGACATTCACCTGTCTGAGATGGTATAGGTTCTCCTGCTTGAGCAGAAGTCTGGACTAGAAGACCTCCATAGTCCCTTCTATTCTATTCTATTCTATTCTATTCTATTCTATTCTATTCTATTCTATTCTATTCTATTCTACTCTACTCTACTCTACTCTACTCTACTCTACTCTACTCTACTCTACTCTACTCTGTTCTGTTCTGTTCTGTTCTGTTCTATTCATTAAATTTATATTTCCATTTACATTTCATTACAGTAGTTTTACATGAAATACAATATCATTTTATGTGAAATAAAAGTGTGAAGTGACATTTACTTGATTTTCCTGTCTTTGGCATAGCTCTAAATGTAGCAGACGTGTCTGGAAATACACCACTGCACTGGGCTACAAAAAAACATCAGACCGAAAGTATTAAATTACTTCTCAGCAGAGGAGCCAACCCAAACATCCTTAATGTCAATATGATTGCTCCACTTCACTGGGCTCTGCATTATCTTCTTGACGATTTAGTTACGGTAAAGCTACATTTTCAAATTTATATGCATATAAGTTAGTGAAGTTAAAAAAACTAAGATCATGTCATGGACATTTATAGGAATTAATGTGAATAAATGGGGATTGATATACTGCATCTTGATTTTTGGAGATGCTGAACTATACCATAGATGAGAAATGTGCATCTATTATCTCTACTCCTAAGTGGAAGCTAAGCTAATCTTTCAAATTCTTATATTCTCTTTTTGATACTTTGGGTCCAGTTGATTCCTGATGAGTGCCTGTTTTTTTCTTGGCAGTGGTTTGCCTCCTTTCTAGGTCTGCGAGAGAGTAATTGGCCCAAGGTCACCCAGCCAATTTCATGCCTAAAATGGGACTAGAACTCACAGTCTCCTGGTTTCTAGTCTGATACCTTAACCATTACACCAAACTAACTCTATCAGGAAGTTATATTAAAGATAGTAAGTGTTCTGATGCAATGAAGCTGAAGTGATGGAAAGTATAGAGCAGGGATCCCCAACTCCTGTAGCCTTTGGGAACTGGGAAGAGGAAGCGGCGGGAAAATGTGCAAAGCTTCATTTGCGCATGCACAAGATCTAGGTTGCACAAAACTATTCCCTCCCCCTGCTGCCGCTGCCAGTCCGTGGAACCAGAAAGATTGGGAACCAGTGGTGTAGGGCTCAGGATTAAGAAACATAGTGATCTAGAAAAATTGGAAGCTAAGATTTCTCACATATGAAGACAAGATTTCTGCCTAAATAGAGTTTTCTGATTAGAAAAGATAATATCGTTTAGTACTGTATATAGTTGAAAACTAGTTTGAGTGTGTGGTTTGAAGCCCCGGCCTGGAAACAGAGAGATTATATCTTCATTCTGCCTTAGGCACAAATTGTCTAGTTATTTTCTCTTATCCTTAGGAATAAGAAAATGGAAAACCATTACCAAAAGTGTTATAAGAAAAATTGCAGAGAGAGTCTTATTTGCAGTTATTAATCTATATATATAGATAGTCCTCAATTTACAACTATAATTGTTCCAAACTGAGAAGAATTTAGTTAAATAGGCAATACAGGAATCCTCAACTTACAATCATAACTGAGCCTGGAATTATAATCATAAGTCATTGTGGTCATTAAGCGGGTTACCATATGACTGGACCTGATTTTATGACTTTTTATGGCAGTCATTAAGTAGACATGGTGATCATTGGTAGGGAGGGTGGGAGGGAGGAAGTGTGGGTGGGATAAAGGCAGGCAGGCAGGCAAGCAGGAAGATGCTTCCACAAACCTTCAGGCCCTAACTCTAATATGATGATATCGAACTTTCTTAATTGTGCCATAACAGAAGATTCAGTCTTAATTGAAGCCATTGTTATAGAGCAGATTACATACAGAACAAAGATACATCTTAACATCACTAAATTGTGATAGTATCATGAGAGTTTTTAGACCTACTATTTATTTGAACTTCTAGACTTAAAAAATGTAACATTGGAATATTGCTATAATACAGTACAACAGGGAGCATTGAAAATGCGGTGTAAAATATATCAAAACAGGTTTTCATTAACTGTACTAATTGCAAACTAATATATTATTGCGTAGCTCTAAATCACAAATCTGGTCAGAAACATGAAGTGATCTAAAATTAGAGAACAAGAGTGAGTCTGTCAGTTATAATTACATGAGTCCTTGTTACAGTTACAATATATCCTGGTCCAAGAATATAACAGTGAGTTGACAGAAAACATTTACATTTTATTTGATTATTTAGATTTTCCTTGAATGCAGCAATACGAATATAAATCTGGAAGGAGAAGGTGGGAATACACCCATACTATTAGCATGTTATAAAGATAATCCTACCGCACTGAAAATTCTGGTATGTATAACAAATGTATATATTTTTGTCAGTGTGCTTGAGTTGTCCCTTGTCTGCTACTTACACTATCTTTTTATAAATTCATGTTCCTGAGGGTTGTGATGTTGTAATTGATTTGCCACCATAATTGAGCTCACAATTTCATGATGGTTGTAAAGTATGGCCAGATCAGTTTTAGCAATAGTTAAATAGCTATTTAAATAGCAATAGCACTTAACTTATATACTGCTTCACAGTGCTTTGCAGCCTTCTTTAAGGAGTTTACAGAATCAGCATATTGCCCCAAACAACAACCTTGGAAGGATCGAGCTGATCAGGATCAAATTGCTGGCAGTCAGCAGCGTGCAATACTACATTCTAACTGCACCACCATGGCTCTTGTTTTACAATCTCGTTTTACAATCTTTTTTCTGGCAGTTGTTAAACAAACACAGCTGTTGTTAAGGTTTCCAGAAAAATATAATAAATTGCACTCACATGACCATGGGGAGGGGGGAGGCATTGGAACTTCAAATCCATTGAATGAGTTTGTTAGAACTTGAAATGGTCACTAACTTACTGGTTATAAGTCAAGAATTATCTGTAATGTGAACTGTGTTGCTTGGTATGTAAGTATAATATAGCTGTTAGAGGATTATTGTATTTTCTGTGGTATATTTTTTATTATTGCAATTATTGTTTTAACCTGATTTGGATATGCCACTCAGATGCAGATAATGATTGGAGCAGCATATAAGGCCAGTAAATAAATTGATCTGAATTGAGTCTTCTAAACAGCTGGAATTGAATCAAGTGGCATCTTATTGTAAAGAGTTACACATTTGTCTTGTTTCTTGGGTTCCTGCATATTTTGATAATCTTATCCATGCCTTAAGGGAAGAGATTGACTGTATGGAAACCAGTAATCCCTCTATCATTCCAGGGAACTTTAGGATAATCTTTCTCTATTGATGAAGATATACTTCGGCTGAGTGAGAAGTACAACTTTCTGATTTGTGGACCTCAGTTACACAATTGGGAGAGATCGCCAGCTAAAATGCATTTGTATAAATTAGCCAGTGTTTAAGATTTTCATTTCTTATAACCTATTATGGTAGTGTATGCAATGAGTGTGTGTGAAAGTGTTTAAGAGTTGTCATTTCATAATTGGTTCTCCTTCTTGCAGATTGAAAAAGGCGGTGACATTTGTAAAGTGAACAATATGGGCTGTATGCCAGTCCATGCAGCTGCCTTTTCTGGTTCGAAATTATGTTTGGAGATGATTATAAAGCGAGGTAAATACATTTAGGAAACCATCCATTAATATTGATTACAATTGAAGTAGCACTCAGACATGACACCTTAAAATATTATAGGACTGTAGGGTTTAAGTGGCTGTAAAGTTAGTGAGTGTAATAGCCATTAATATGAACAGGGCAACAGATGCTAGGATGTGTTATTCTGCAAGGCTTCTGAGGCTGGAGGAGAAATAGGGCAGTGATCCAAGGGCTGGTACAAAAGGGGAAATGCTGGAAATTTGTTATTATTGGTAAAGTACTTTGCTTTTAAAAAGTGTTAAAATGTTATCAGAGTTATAATTCCATTACTACTCAAAGTAATGAAAAAGAATTCCAATGATTTTTTAGCTCTTAGAAAAAAAGGAGCTTGGAACAGGATTGCAGGTAGTCCTTGACTTACGACCACAACTGAGCCCAAAATTTATGTTGCTAAGTAAGACATTTCTTAAGTGATTTTTGCCCATTTTTATGATTTTTCTTGCCATAGTTGTTAAGTGAATCATTGCAGTTGTTAAATTAATAACCTGGTTGTTAGGTGAATCTGACTTCCACATTGACTTTGCTTGTGAGAAGGTCACAAAGGGTAATCACATGATGCTGGGACATTGTAACCCTCATAAACATGAACCAATTGCCAAGCATCAAAATTTTGATCATGTGACCATGGGGATGCTGCCATGATTGTAAGTGAAAAAGTCATAAGTCACTTTTTTCAGTGCTGTTATAACTTTGAACGTCACTAAACAAACTGTTGTAAGTTGAGAATTACCTGTACTAGAGCTGGACTGCAAAGAAGTAGATGACACTAGATGGCAGCAGAAATATATGCAGAAAAATTTAATACTTTGCTATGACTTCAGTGGGTTATATGGAATTTTACAGCCCATTTTTACAGTTCTAGGCTGGAGTGGACAGCTGCTGTCTGCTCCTGTATTAAAATGTATACGGTATCCTTTAGTACAAATGATTTTATAAACAGACAAAGGGAGGAAGAAATAACATTAGAGGTTTTCAGATGACACAGCACTCAACTCCTTCAGTATTCCTTACTTTAGAATGCTTACAGTTTTGATAATCTTTGTAAGCTGAATAAAATCTTATAAAATGAACAGAAGTTGTCAAATATTTGAATAAACTTATTTTTAAATGTTAAAATGTTATATTTATTATTAAACATTTAATAGGAATCAGTAAGGCAGTAAATAATACCCTTTATTCTTCTTCTCTTAGAAAACTATATCATAGATTATTTTTTTTTTTAAGGTGAACAACTTGGGTATTCACCTAAAAATCATATTAATTTTATTAATAATGAGAAAAGTAGTCCTCTTCATCTAGCTGTCCAAAGCAGAGACGTGGAAATGATTAAAATGTGCATTGAATATGGAGCACAGATTGACCTGAAACAGGTAAAATCTAATAAAACAAATGTTTATTTTACTACATCGATTGTGGGGGGGGGAAACCAAGCATTTTTAAAATTCCTGTTGAAAGAATTAGAAGTTGCACATCATTCATGCATTGCAATATTTATTGTATGTTTAGTTATTCCAATTTTATTGCCATAATTTAATACAGTACCTCTTGGTAGCTTCTTCAATAGAAAACATTATACTTACATTTCCTTTTTCATACACAGAAATAGTTTTTCTCTTATTTCTACTCTTTGCTCTCTGTTTCATGTAAAAAACAGATATTTAATTACAGCTCTAGGTATCCTGCATCTTTATCCATGATGACTGGAGCTTTTTGAATTATAATTCAGCAAGATATGAAGAGCAATATTTTCTCCATTTATTTTGCAAAAAAGAAATGTTGCCTATGAATTGAATTTGAGTGGAATCAAAAAGGAAGAGTCTAGATTATGTCTGTAATGCTGAATTCTATACAGTTAATAAGACTGTATATCAGAAAATATCAAAAATATTTGGTTTAGGGATTATAAATTTTCTTTTGGTTTATATCTCCACTTATAGAGTGACAACTGCACAGCTCTTCATATTGCTGCTATCCAAGGAGCTACTGAGATTATCGAGTTACTGATGTCAGCTTATTCAGGGGAGGAGTGTCTCATTAACGCATCAGATGAAAATAAGGAAACATTGCTCCATAGGTAAGGGTTTTCCTTAGGTTCCTTATATTGTTTATGATATGGTATTTTCTTACCAATTTTTCCAAACATTATGGAGTTATTTGCACTAGTTTCAGTAGCCTAGTTTCCCCGGGCTCATCATTAAGGCCTTTGACAAGAGAGAGTAAGACCTCTTACTTCATTGCCATTGCCATCTTTTCTCTTTTATTGATTTTACTGTATTTTCTTTTTTTTTTATTGTTATGAACTGCCCAGACTTTTTGAGAATCAGGCAGGATGTATAATGTATAAAATAGTAGAAGAAAAAAAATCTATAGAAAATCTCAAAACTCAAAGACCTGCAAATAGTAGAATGGCTATGGCAAAAGAAAACAAAGTTAGTACCAATAATAATAAGCACCTTGGCAGCAATTTCAAAACATCTGGAGGACCACTTGAAATCATCTGCATTAACAAAATCACCCTCAGTCAATTGCTAAAAGCAGTTTTACTTGGAACAGCTTACATTCTGCAATTATACTTTTAATGCCATCAAATAACATCCACCTGTCACAGATCCTTGGGAAGTACTGCTGGATGAATAAAGATATAAATCCAGTCTAAACATCTGGCTGACTGTGCAACCAGTCATAATAATAATTAGGCATCCTTAGAACACCGGTATTACTATTAAGTCACTTGGACTAAACAGCTCATGAATTTCAGTTATGGTAATCCTGGAAAGCCCCTTTGTGACACTGAACAACAATAAGGGAACAACATTAGAGTTGGAAGTTCATATATTGTATACTTGGAAGAGCTTTTAGTCTATCATGATTAGAGACTACAATTGATAAAAACTAGTACATCAGAGACAAAATATAACTTTTCATTTCACTATTATGTGCTCCTTGTAATATTTTGGTTTGCTATTCATTTTTTCTGCTAGGGCTGCATTGTTTGATCACGATGAAATGACAGATTATCTCATTTCAAAGGTAAACATTTAGCTATAATTGAATTTTTAATTAAACAGCAATAAAGATTGACATTAAACTTACTGGAAGTTTGTATGGTATCATGCAGTAAGACATGATTAAAAAAATAGTTTCCTGTTTAACTGATATAGTAAATTTATAGAGGAACACAAATATTAGGAACATAATGTGTAAATTCAATGGTGCTAATACTGGTACCCATTTATAGCATCAATGTAGGTTAAATGCTGCCAGTGTATCAGTTCTAAGAAACCGTACTATATTGCCACAGCATCCAACTTAAATAGTTTGACTCATGCAGCAACAACAGAAGTCAGTAAAAATATCTTTCTGAATAAATATTATGTCATTCTTTGTTAACCTGTCACATGTTACAATTTAAAAGTCCAATTTATTTAAATAGAGAAATAAACTATGGTGTTCAAAACAAGCAACTTTTCATACAAACACACACACACACACACACACACACACACAAATACATAATATACAAATAAATTTATTTATAATACTGTTTATAATATATATAAAGCTGGTGTGTATATATACATATATGATTGAATGTGTATTATATTTCCCTAAGTTGTCATTAATATCTATTACTGTACTTTTGATGGACTTTTTATTACAGGGAGCAAATATTGATAGTGTTGACATTGAGGGCCGAACACCATTAATACTTGCCACTTCTCGTGCATCATGGAAAATTGTGAACCTGTTAATTTCAAAAGGTACAAAATGAATAAAACACACTTTATGAGCAAGATCAATGTTAGTTAATTAAAATTGCTTGTCGGTAGTTTTGAAATAAAAATCTGTTTTTTCAAATTAGGAGCAAATATACAATTAAAAGATCACCTTGGTCGTAGTTTTTTACATCTAACTGTCCTACATCCTGGAGGGTTGCAGCATCTGAATGAAGAATTTTTGAAGGTAACAAAATTTGTGAAACTTTTAATAAATAATTGTCTAATAATTTTTAAGACCTAATACAGGCAGTCCTTGACTTACAACAGTTCATTTAGTGGCTGTTCAAAGTTACAACGGCACCGAAAAAAGTGACTTTGACCATTTTTTACATTTACGACTGTTGCAGCATCCCCATGGTCATGTGATTTGTATTTGGATGTTTGACAACTGGTTCATATTTATGACAATTGCAGTATATTGGGTCATGTAATCAACTTTTGTGACTTTCTAACAAGCAAAGTCAATGGGGAAGCCAGATTTACTTAACAACCATGTTACTAATTTAACAATTCCCTTGATTCACTTAACAAATCAGCAAGAAAAGTCGTAAAATGGGACAAAGCTTACTTAACAAATTTCTCTGGCCTCAATTGTGGTTGTAAGTTAAGGACTACCTGTATTTTTATTTTCTTCATGATATTTAGCATACATATTTAAGTTCAGTTTGGTCTAGTGATTAAGGCACCAGGCTAGAAAGCAGAAGACCATGAGATCAAGTTCTGCCTTAACTATGAAAGCCAATTGGTTGATTTTGGGCCAGTCACTCTCTGTCAGCCCAACCCACCTCACAGGGGAAAATAGGAGGAAGAAACTATGTTGGATATGTCTGTAGCCCTGAGTTAGTTGTAAAAATAATAGGCAAGCTACAAATAAATAACACATAGGATGAAACATTACTGCTGGTATTGCAAATTATATATAAAAACTATACTTCAATTGGAGACATTTTTGTGGTTTTTAGTTTTTTGTTCTAATCTACTTTTATTCAACTGAATATCACTTTTTAACACCTCTCGGCAGAGAAATCAAAGTATTTCCTAGAGCTGTACCATTAAAGTTCCAAAGTTCAATAGGAAAGCATATTCCAAATTCAAGGCAGCAAACAATATCAAAATTCCTTATGGTAAATCACATTAAATTATATTCATCCATTCTAAAAGTGAACTTAGAGTTATAACAAACTAAAGCATTGAAAACATGTTATAAATACAACATCAGTCTATTGTATCCTGGAACATTATTTTGTAATCTTTAATAACATATCAGGACATGAGTTCAAAATAACTTTCCAACGTTTCTAGAATTCTATTAAAATGTACCGCTTTTATATCTGACAGATGAAACATATTAGAGATCTTCTAACTGATGAGGATCATGAAGGATGCACTCCTTTACATTATGCATGCAAACAAGGCATGCCCCTTACAGTGAATATCCTCCTTGACATGAATGTTTCAGTATATGCTAAAAGCAGAGACAAGAAATCTCCATTACATTTTGCAGCTAGGTAAGACTGAAAATCTTTCCTCATTGACCATTTTCTATTCTAGATTTTATCCTTAATAATGGGACATTTATCTTTTATATAGCCATGGACGATTGAACACCTGTCTTCGACTTCTGGAGTCTATGGACGATACCAGACTGTTGAATGAAGGAGACAGGAAAGGGATGACACCTTTACATCTGGCTGCTCAATATGGACATGAGAAAGTAACCCAGCTTCTCCTAAAGAAAGGTGCCCTCTTTAATAGGTAGGTAAATTGCAAGATTCTGTCATTATAGCCTATTTCAATAAAGTATAGGTCTGGTCTTTCTGTGGATTTGATTTCCTGGTCTTTACACTTAAGTAAGACTGACATACATTCATCATACATTCTGGCCCCCAACTATATATGTTTGATATATGTATGTTTATAATGATCTGAATTATTAAGGAACAAATTATTCAGGAAATACAGTCATGTGGAAAAGAAAGTACATCCTCTTTGAGTTACAGTCATGTGGAAAAGAAAGTATATCCTCTTTGAGTTCCATGGTTTTATGTATCAGGATATAAAAGGGCAATTCGGAAATAAACCTCTGTTTGGTTATCAATGACAAACACTCGCAGATACAGAAGTTTTATTATACACATTAGAAAACCATAACATTATATTACTTTTTGACATAATCACTATTCAAATTGAGGCACTTGTCATAACATTTTACAAGGTCTGAAATTCCTTAGTAATAGTCACTCATTGTCAAATCTGGGCTATAGGAAGGGTGATCAAAAACATCCCAACGGAACTGCTTCAAAAGTTCTTGGGTGCATCTAGCGGTGTGCAGGCGAGCATTATCGTGAACCAATACCACACTGGAAGTGGTGCCATAAAAAATCCCATCAAATGTGAAGATGCCAAAGGAGTACTGCTAGTGAAATTCATGGAGCATGGTTTGACCATCAATTCAGAAGGCTACTGTGAAATGTTATGAAAACTCAGATGAGCCATCCATAACAAGGGTAGGGGCATGCTGACATCCAGTGTGGTGTTGGTTCACAATAATGCTCACCCGCACATTGCTAGATGTACCCAAGAACTTTTGAAGCAGTTCCATTGGGATGTTTTTGATTACTCCCCCCCCCCATAGCCCAGATTTGGTGACGAGCGACCTACTAAGGAATTCAAACCTTGAAAGATATTATGGCAAGTGCCTCAATTTAAATGGTGATTATGTTGAAAATAAAAGTTCTAGATCTGTGAGTGTCTGTCATTGGTAACCAAATGGAAGTTTATTTCTGAATTGCCCTCGTAGTAAAAATCATCTGTCCCTTAGAAGTTCTTAAAATTAAGTTGTTGTTGGTACCTTGTATATAGTATATCTCACTACACACGCACACACACATCCCCATGGGCTAACATTCAATTGTTATAACAAAGTAAGAATATTTTATTCTGTTTTTTTCATAAGTGATTATAAAGGCTGGACACCTTTGCATCATGCTGCTTTGGGTGGATATAGTCGCACAATGGAAATTATTTTGAATACCAATATGAAAGCCACCGATAAAGTAAATGACAAAGGGGTAAGTTTATTTCCAATTTTTAGTTATAATAGTAGTATTAAACTTTAATTTTAGGTACTATGTAGTTCAGTAAGCTCTTACATAATATTGGAACTCGAATGTGTTACAATTGTTATTATCACATAACTTGTAGGGTGCATGTGGCCATTAAAAAAACAGGAGCACTTCTCTCACTTGCCTTTATTCTGGGTAGCTGAGCCCAAATATTGTAGTTGCTTTTCATTCTTTTGGCAAGAATGACTATGTCACTATTTTCAGTTATTTCTATTAGGACCTTTTCCAGAGAGCTAGGTGTTACATAATATGTCCGGAAAAAAATAATATATTAAATTAATGTAAATCACCTATATCAGAAAAAGCAGCCTTTCCAAAATTGAGATGTTATATTTATATAAATTAAATTTATATTTATTAAATTTAATCTTTGATATCAGGGGTAATAGTACTTTTACTATAGCTAAGAAATATGGTTTTCTTAGTTATCCAGTATAAACTATATTCCTGTAAAATAGTCAGATTCCAGGATTTTGCAGTAGAATTCAAAATAACATTGACATCTTTAACATAAAAGCATTTACCCAAACATTTACTTATATGTTACCATGTTCTTCCCAAAAGAAACCAAAACTGGATATGACAAAATCATATGAATTAACATATCCTTATTTTTTCTACATTACTTACAGAGAAAGTAATTCTTTTTGAATAAAGTACATTCTTTGAGGAATCCGATCCAAGTATTGCAGACTTATATTACCATTGTTGAATATCAGACAAACAAAATTCTAAATCTGGTTGTTGTTGGAAGTCCTTAAAATAACAATTACAAACCACTGTAATTCTGGAAGGTCTTAACACATGTTTTAAAGTGGATTTTTTTTATAATGTTAAACAAAGTTAAATATTTAGAAGACTCAGTGTCAAATTTTAATCTATGTCTCACTGCGCCCCAAATATATCTAGCTGTTGTAAACCAGGGAGCGAAAAACCTTTATTTACTATATGTTGATTAGAATAATTGCAAAGATTTTAATAAAGATACATAATAACTTTCCAGTGTAGAGGTAGAATATTCAGCTAAATTCTAATTCCTCATAAATATAGATGATGGAATAGCACTGGTACTTAGACTTACATACCACTCCACTGTGCTTAACAGCACTTTCTAAGTGGTATACAAATATCAATTTGTATACCACTTAGAATTTCGGTCCTCATTTTACCAACCTTGGAAGGATAGAATTTCGGTCCTCATTTTACCAACAATTTTGGTCCTCATTTTACCAACCTTGGAAGAATAGAAGGATGAGTCAACCAGTCAGGATGCATCTCCTGGCTGTAAGCAGAGTTAGCCTGCAATACTACATTCTAACCACTGTATCACTGTTCTATTACATTTTTGGAAATATGATAAATTAAAACCTTGTTGTTCAAAAGATATCTTCAACTTAGCCAGTGAGATTTTTGATGACCTGTCTTTCTAGTTCCATTTTCATCAAAAACTATAAATATGCATGAAATACCTATTTGGAATTAATTTTGGGTTACCCTTCAAATACGTATCAACCAAATAATATTAATTTTGATAACATTTGGCAACATCCTGTCAATGTAATGGGATTTTTGTCCATCTATTAATAAAATTTGACATCAGTTTCCAAATATTAATTAATAATATTTTTTGTATATAGTTAACTTTTTGTAAAGTACAACAATGAATTTCCTATTTATCATAAATAAAATATTTGAATAATTATTCATTTCTTAGAAGTAATGCTATTTAGTATGGACAGAAATGAAGCTATAGATCATATCAACAATTCTGAGTTTAATTTAAAAAAATGGGTTTCAAAATGAATCTCTGATTCCCTGCATTGTGGGCATTCTGGAAGGATTGTTGCACAACCAAGCAGTAGAATAAATGAACATCCTTGCATCTTGATGTTTACAGTTTAAAATCTGTCAGAAGAAAACATAGAAGCAGAGACAGTAAGTACTAGAGAAAAAATTACAGCAGTTTCAGCTCCATGTGCTGTTTGTTTGATAGACTAATGATATTATTTTAATAAATTGTTCTTGGGGTGAAATTGTTCTTGGGGTGGGAAAAGGACACAGCTCTTCATCTTGCTGCCAGAGAAGGCCACACAAGAGCAGTGAAATTACTTCTTGATGCCAATGCCAAAATTCTCCTGAACGAAAGTGAAGCTTCTTTCCTTCATGAAGCCATACACAATGAACGAAAAGATGTTGTAAAGATTGTAATTTTACATAAAAGGTAAGCCTTCCTACATCTGTTTAGGAGTTCTCTCCCTCTCTCTTCTAAAGTACTAGTTGCTCTTCCCAGTCCTGTGTAATAAATGACTAGCATTCTGTGAAATCCCACTTCTAATTCCCATTATGAAATGAGAGGGTGGTCAAGAAGACCAACCAAAACTTTTATTTACTACTGTACATCTACTACTGCAAGTCAGATGTCCTGATGTTATATTTCTTTGTTTTTTTCCTGACCCAATGCAGAACTTTATATTTATCTCTGCTAAATTCTATTCATTGCAGTGAAAGCTAAGTTAAACATGAGCAAGCAGTTTCATGCAGCTGCTAAAAAGACAAATGTTACCTTCTCTGCATTAATCATCTGAAAAATCGAGTCCAGATCATGCATAGTCATTTTCCATTCCACTCTGCCGTGGTTGAACATCACTTGCAGTACTTAGACTGGTTCTGAGCACTATAGCTGAAAAGGATATTAAATAAGTTCAGATGAGAACTACTAAAATGATAAGGGACCTGGAAACTATGAAAAATGGTTGAAAAATATTTAGCCTCCAAAAGAGACAACTGAAGGAATTATTTGTTTATTTGTTTACTTCAGTTTTTAACATATTCTTGGTATGATTACAGGTAATCAAATTAATAAAATAATAATTACAAAAATTATGTTAACATCAGAAATTATAATAAAAATTAAGCTATATTAGTGCTGCTGACTCAAGTCAATTTCTGATGATCTTCTAGAAAAGCAACTTTTCTAGTTGCAGAAGGCCATGCAAGGGAACAAGCTCTTCCACAAAAGGCATCTCCCTACTGAAAAGGCCTACTATATGCTCCTCCCTACCACATCCTCCCTGCCCCAAGATAAGTGAGGAATCTTAAAAGGCACTGTTATAATCTGGATGGAAATGCTTGTAGAATTCAAATCCTACATTGTGTTTTGTAGTTTAATAAAGCATAAACATAATAAGCATTTCTTGTAAGAAAATGAGTTTTAGGCTATATTTCAATATAGTCCTCCCATTGGTATATAAATCAATTTAAAGAATGCACATCAGTTCACCTCCGGTTCAGACAGACAACTCAAGAGTATTAATTTCCCTTTTTGAATCAGCTCAATATACCTGTATAGGTTTTTTCATCCTTCCTGTTACATTGATAATATAGAGTATACTCACAAAATGCTAGATTTAGGAGTAGGAAGCCAATGTTTGGCTAATTTAAGACATTTTTCCCACATAACATATAATAGCAATAGTATGTCATGGTTACATAACTATATAAAGCTGTGACATACCACTTGACTTCAAGAATTGCTAAGACCTTGCTATTATACAACATGCTAAACATTGCCTAACCTACTCATTTTTACTTTGTTATGACAGTGTTTGTAGTTGAGCTGCATGTCAACATTTTTGCAGTAATCCTTTTAAAAACATGAATGTTGTGATCAGGTAATGGCACAATTGTCTGGTTTGGAAGCTAAGCAGAGTAGGGCTTGTTTAGTATTTGGATGGGAGAGCCGCTTCTGTTGCAAAGAAAACTGCATGGAATCACCCTGAATGGAGCTTGCAAGCCGCTTCTATACTGTTGCAAAGAAAACTGCATGGAATCACCCTGAATGAATACTTTATCCTTATCGAAAATACAGCAATGCATTTTTTTCTCTGATCACTACAAATAGTTATTCTGAACCCTTTCAACTTATTTTCTTTTTCAGATGGGAAGAATCTATATCAACATTTTCTCACTTTTCTTCTATAAACAAATGTGCAATACTAGAGATGGTTGAATATCTTCCCGACTGTTTAAAAGTAAGGTTATATTTAGCTAGTAATGTAACTTGTAGTTAAGGCCAGAACTGGAAAGTTACCTCATTTCCCCCCAAATTAAGGCAGTGAGAAGCTATTTCCATATTGTTGTGAAAAACAACATGGAATTCTGTCCATGAAATCCTAGTAGTTTTTATTTAAAAACATTGAGTTGTATATGAGTTCAACCCTTGAATTTACAAAAAAGTTGTTTTTAATTTTTCCAATTTGTGATCTCATTATATTCCCAGTTTGGGGACATCTGAAGCTATAATCCAGTTTGGGGTAGTCTGGAACTATAATCCCAAAGGGGCATAAAGTTGGAAAAGACTGAGATAATAGTATTGTGTGAAATTAGCATATATTTCAGCATATCTCTCTTCATGGTTATTTTGACCCAACCTGTAGATATTCCTTATGCCATGTATAAGCTTTAATGTGGCCTGTTTTCTTCTTATGTTATTGTTTCTATCAGTGACTACTAATGTCATGGTTAAACTTTGAAAAACTAAACATGTCATCTTTGCCACATGTCTCTGAACCTAAAACAAAAACAAATCCTTAATGTGCTTTTGAATATGAAAAATTAAAAACCGCTTCAGTTTAGATTTACTTTTCATCATTCAATTTTATTCAGAATTAATTTTCTACATTGTATAATGTAATTGCATAATTTTGTTAGTAAAAAACAGAAATGTTTCTCTGTTTTTGCTTAGTTGGTTTTAGACAATTGCATTGTTAAATCACCTGAAGACAAAGGATCTAAAGACTTCTTTGTAAGTAAAATCCAAAGCAGTTTTATCTACTAAAGAGTTTTAGAATTAATAAAGCATTTTGAGGTACTAATGGCCATATGATTCTTAGGCAAGAAACATATAGTCAGTTGTTATATATTAAGTTAAATGTTTTCACTACTATTTAATTGGAATTCACTGAAAAAATTGCATGTTACATTAAACTATAGCTTATTATAAATTAAATCTACAGAATGTACATCCATGCTCTTTTATGCTCTCCTTTTGTATATATATATGTATATATGCATATGTGTGTGTGTGTATAAAAAGAAGCAATTATATTAAATTTAATTAACTAATCTTGATTTAATTAAAAATAATTGTTTAATTTTGAAGAATAGCGTATAGGATTGTTATATGACCATGGTTAAAATGACATACAATTGTCACCAAAATGTAAGTTAAGTTCAGTACTAAAATCCAAAATGGAATATATACTGTCAATAGTAAATATTACATCAAAATTTTATAAAATACCCAAATATTTTAAATTCTTTAATTTCCCTGAATTGGAGAAATTATAATATCAAAGTTTGTGTATGAATAATTATGCTTATGCCTGTATCCTGAATATATTTATTGAAATAACAGGAGCATAGTAAGTAAGTAAGCTTACAAACCATAATCATTGGCAATCATGCCCAGACTATTTTTTTCTGAGATTTTAGAAGAGATTTAAGTTAAAACTTTTAAAAGTATGATGTATTACAAGTTTGTTCCAAAATTAAGCTGTGTTGGTTCATATTTACATAGGTTGAATATAACTTCACATATCTTCAATGTCCATTGCAATTTAAGAAGAAAGTTAAAGAGAATGAGGGAGTAGTTTATGAGCCGCTTCTTGCTTTAAATGTAAGTTATGCTTATGTGAAACCATACCTAATACTGTAGAGCAGAAGTCCCCAACCTTTCTGATTTGGCGACCTGGCAGGGGGGGAGTGGAGATAGTTCCCTGCGAGTGGAAGGGGACGGGAACTTTGTGTGCGATTTAAGACAGACATCGCTCGTGTGAGGGGAGCTTTGTGCTCAAGGGCAAGTGTCCACCACTCACATAACGGGAGCTTCGTATCCAAGCACAAGCAGCTGCCGCTCACACATGGGGAACTTTGCCTGTGCTCATGTGCTCACCCCTGCTTGCATGGCCCAGTTCCGAATAGGCTAAGGCACAGTAGTGGGGACCCCTGCTGTAGCAACTGAAACTGTAATCTAGGACTATTTAAAATATTCTGTAAGGATTCACTGTAATGTCCTTACATTTGCAGTTCATTAGGATTGACTTGAGATTCTCTTTTTCTTTCACCCCACTCCAAATAATCACATATTTTCAAGTTATCCATTTTGATTAACGAAACTGTTAAAATCATATTTAACTGGTGGCAGAATGCATGCCTTACAGTACATCTATTTGCTGATGTAGAATAGCTTTCATCTTTGTACCAATAAATGTATAAGTACACATTTTAAGAATATGATCATGTTCTTAAATTAATAATAATGTCAAATGATATTATTGTTTAATATAAATAAGAGGTTGGATGTAAAATGAAAAACCTGTATTTTTCCCATCTTACCCCAGGGCATGGTACGTCACAATCGTGTTGAACTGCTTAGTCATCCTGTTTGTACACAATATTTACTTATGAAATGGTAAGTAGCCATTTTAAAAGATATTTTCTTTCACATTTTGTTCTAATTCAGGTTCTTTGAAATCTGACCTCTTAAATCGCTTTATTTATTTATGTTGGGGAGATAGATGACTTACAAATTTAATAAATAAATACATTTATGATTTATGGAAAGAACACATAAGACTAATGATATCCCTAGTAATTATAGCTATTGCAAATATAATTATTAGAAAAATGTTCCAATTTAGATTTTTTTCTCAGAGGCTCTTCTTGTTTACATTTCTTCCTGCTGAAGTGAAAAATGCTATCATTTATATTATGAAAGTCATACTGAATACAATTTTACTTTATAGGATGGCCTATGGTTTACGAGCACATATTTTGAATCTGGCTGTGTATTCCCTTGGCTTAATACCTCTTACGCTCCTGGTCACCAATTTAGAGCCAGATATTTCTTTCGATGAACCGCTTCAATATGGACCTTTTGATAATAAGGTACAGCTTTAATTCATTACATTGCTTTGTAGTTGAATGTATCAATAAATCAATGAACTTGAACCTATGATCAAGAAACACATATAAATGAATTTGCTTTCATTTATTTTTGTGATCTTCCAAGAATCATCATTGTTAGAATTCTGGGATAGAAAAGATCTTAATTTGATCTAGAAAAACAGTTCCTAAGTTCTTACAGTATTACTAAATAGAACTGTAAAGCAGTATTTCAAGTCTGTATAAACATAAATATTTTAAAGTGCATTCTGATGCACCTATTGATTGGTTTTATTGAGGAAACCACCTCTTTTCAGATAGATATTTCAGGACTTTTATGTGGAAGAGGTGAAAGAAACAATGCTTAAAAAAAAAAAAAAAGGTGCCGGAACCCACACACGTCATACAACCCGCCTTGCCTACCCTACAAGGTTCCATCCCAAAAAGGTACTCTGGAACTCTGTTCTGGGTGTTATATGAGGAAAAAAGCCCTGGAAAGAAAATATGTTTCCTTTCAATATTTGCATTTACTTACAGTATACAGCTTAGGAATCTATGGGGGCCTCTAGAACCACTAGAACTCTGCAAAAATATTTAAGTATGACTTTTCCTGAGGCTATCTTGGTCTTGGTTGGATCCTAAATCAGGGATATGCTGCCATAGTTGTCCTTTGAGTGAGGTGAACAGACATATTTCCAAAAAAGTAAATGAGATTAGGAAAGAAATTAGGGAGGGATCAAGACTAAATAAGTGTCATTAAATTTAAATTTGATTAATTGAGTTAATATTGCTAACCATTAAGATCTGTCCTTTTATAATTAAAAAGGATAATTTGACAATGTTTGGAGTGGTACTTCGGATTGCACAAACCAATATTTTTGTGGGCCTAGGCACACAAATTGCGTAACCTTGTGTAAGCTCACAGATTGAACCTCTGTTCCTAGTTATATCTCCAGTGTTAGTAGACATTCAGGAAACAAGGTTTTATGGGAAGGGAGGAAAGTTCAGAAAACATGTGATAACTGAGACAATGCTTATTCAACATTTTTCCATATAAAGCAGTGGTGGCGAACCATGGCACGGGTGCCAGAGGCGGCACTCAGAGCCCTCTCTGTGGGCACGTGCACCATTGCCCCAGTCCTAGGCCTTTAGCTGGGTTTTATAAAACCTTTTTGCTTTAGGCCTCTGCCGCTGTGTGCAAAAAAAAAAAAAAGGTTCAATCAATCAGTCAATTTCAACATCTCGCGGGAAAAAAAAGTGGGTTTTGGGTTGCAGTTTGGACACTCGGTCTCTAAAAGGCTCGCTATCACTGATATAAAGGGGTCCTTGGTACTCTCTGAACTTGGTTGTTTCCCACAGATATTTCATTACCAAGCTAGATAACATCATTGGTGGTAGTAAGGAGTGGGGTTTGCTCTAATTTTATATTCTAAAGCAGGGGTCTTCAAAGTTGGCCCTTTTATGACTTGTGGACTTCAACTCCCAGAATTCCTCAGCCAGCGTGCTTGGCTGAGGAATTCTGGGAGTTGAAGTCCACAAGTCATAAAAGGGCCAAGTTTGAAGACCCCTGTTCTAGAGGCTTATCCTGTCAGTGTTGGTCACCAAGACCATACCCACCAACCTAAACCCCATTCCCCACTACCATTGATGATGTTACCTTGTTTGGTAATAAAATGTCTGCAAGAAAACAACCAAGTTCCATGACCACCGTGGATCTTTCATTTCAACCCTGAGCTACAAATGTTCTTCTCTATTGTTCCACATTGTTTGCTACAGTTGTTCCCAGCAATTTTAGAGTGAATAATGCTTGTGTATTATGGATAAAACAAAAACAACCATTTGGGAGATGTAACAGAAATGGAGGAACTTATATTGAATGTGATGTTGTCCCTTACAGCATATTTACTGTGCTGTGTAAGTACTGTAGCTGAGTTCATGTAACAAGCATAACAAGGTTGGTAAAGACCTGGCTCTGCATTTATACAATATGTTAAGGATGTTGGTTATTGTCTTCCATAGCTTGCATGGATGATAGTCATAGAGTTAATTCACTAAGCTGAAGAAAGTAAGAAAGAATCCTTGTGGAGTTAGAAATACTCATAGGGCAGTGGTGGCAAATCTATGGCACGGTGCCAGAAGCGGCACTCAGAGCCGTCTCTGTGGGCACATATGCCGTTGTTCCAGGCTTGCTTCCCCCCATGAGCCCCTCCTTTCCAGCAGCTCTCTGAAGGACAGTCACCCCCGAGCGTGGCCCACATGGAGCAGCGCAGCCAAGGACATGGCAGCCAGGCAGCATAGACAAGGGTGTGGCTGCCATAGTGCTACTGGGCTGCCTGGGCGATCTGTGGCGGGCCCTGGAGGCAGTGAGTGGTCCTGTGGGCAGGCGGGGCAGGATATGGGGGGCAGAGCGGGGGCGTAAGGGGGTGGAGCGGGGCGGGGCCAGGTTTTGGGCACTCGATCTCTAAAAGGTTTGCCATCACTGTCATAACAGGTATAATTTATTTGTTCTGTACTTGGAGCTGGATCCCAGGAATCCTTCTGCCCTCAGAATTCTATCTTCTCTCTCCCTAAGGATACTGGGTGATACTGAGGAGTTTTAGTTTCAGTCTTGCAGTACAGTATCATAGTTTTGGATTGGAAATTTGAGCATTATCAACCTACTTCTATTTTTCTAAGGAATACTTCCATGTTTCTGTATTTCTGTAGTTCTGCAATATTTGTTAATAGTATAGGATAATCTTCTACCATCTGGCACCAGACTTCAATTTTCAAGTTTATATATTATGTCTGATTACTAATAGCGCAAGATATTGGGCAATTTTCCCACCAATATAATACATTAAAAGCAAAATGAAAAAAAAATGTTTTCCATTTACCCATTAATACCAATTCCTATTTTTTTTCTCATTTCAGAAATCATACTTCATTAAAGTTTGTATGTCTTTAGTTTTTATCATGAGTTTATTTGGTATCTGCAAAGAAATAATACAGCTATTCCAACAGGTATTGGTTAATGTTGTGAATTTTATTTATTTAATATTATGTGAAGTATTTTATGTGCAGTTAACATAAAATGTTTTTATGAAGAAAAACATTATTTAATAGGATCTCTTTTTTTTCTGTGGATGTGTTCCTTTGAGTCAATTTTTGACTTCTAGCACCTGCCTGGACTAGTTGCTGCAGTTTACTTGATAAGGTTTTTTGAAAGTGGTTTGTCATTGCCTCCTTCTTAGGGTTGAGAGAGAGTGACTGGCCCACAATGGCTTTGAGCATAAGACATGATTAGAGCCATAACCATTACACCAAACTGACTCTCCAGAATTGATCTATTAGAATTAATTAGAAATAATAATATGCTATCTGATTTGCTTCATTTTCAACAATATTAATGTTTAACTTTTTTTATATCTTAGAAATTAAACTATTTGATGGATTATTCTAACCTTCTTGACTGGGCAATTTATACTACAAGTCTCATTTTTGTGTCATCTTTACTTGTGACGTTACCAGTTCATTTACAGTGGCACTGTGGTGCAATTGCTATACTCTTGGCTTGGACAAACTTCTTGTTCTATTTACAAAGGCAAGTTAGAATCTTCAAGAAAGTAGTTATAAATTATTCTATATTAGGTTTTGAGCCATTGTAGAATGATTTAAATTCATAGGTTTTTATAAATATAGAAATGAGTGTATCTTGTTTTTAGAAAATGGTAATTTATATTGTAAGACGAAGACAGGGAAGACTTCTAGATATTCACCTCAAGGACTTAACACAGTCCAGCTATTTTTTCTGCAATGACAACCCAATGCATATTAAACTCAAGCAGGACAAGGTTGTTAAAGCATGCTTCTATTCATGTTCTACAGGAACTACCATTTTTCTCAACTAATAATGAAATAATAGCCAGTATAATTAGAGCCCATTGTTAGCTATTATCTTTCCCATTGCTATATGGCAGCAGGAGTTTTACAAAAAAAAAATACTGTGCTTTAATTGTTCTGAATCTTTTAATATTCAATCAAAGTACTTTAGTTTCTCATATTAAAACAAAAGGAGAAAACTTCATATTTTTTCAGTTAGAAAATGATATTTAAAGCATACATAAGTAGATACAGTAGCTAATACATATTTTAATACAAGACAAGCACATTGTTTTCTCAGCCTATGAGGACTAGATTCTATTCTCATAAATGACAAAAGAGAATGGAGACTGAATCAGAACTAATGAAAAAGTATGTTACTAAAATGAGAATCTTTTTACAAGCATTTCTTGGTTGGAGAATTGTAAATAGCAGTGATCTTTATAAACAGAGGACTTCTCAAATGTGTCATGTGATTAAGAGATTAAGAAAATTATATATACCCCTTTTTAAATTAAATATTGTGTTTTCTCTTCTCAGATTTGAAAATTATGGAATATATATTGTGATGTTCTGGGAAATTTTGAAGACTCTGATACGGATCATTGTTGTTTTCTTTTTTTTGATGTTAGCTTTTGGGCTCAGCTTCCATGTTCTTCTTGGTTCACAGGTTTGAAATGTCATATTAAATACTTTAAAAAATATTTTAAAACAAAAAATTATGCTATTAAAATATTGGTATTAAAATATTATATTTAATTCCACAAATTAAGATTACTGTGCCTAAACATTTATTATCTATAAATTTAAGAGGTTTTTTTTTTTAGTAATGAGAGGAAGTTGTAATTTAAAAACTGGAGATGAAATGCAAACTTTGTTGTAGAAACTGTCTATATGAAACTGTCTATTTAATGGGATTGTATTACTTAAGCCAAGTTAAATGTGACAGAAGAAGACAACAGTACCTTGGAGTGATCTTCTTTAGGTCTTGGGGGATACACCAAAATGTAAAGTGGTGGATAGAAAAGGCATGGATTTGATTGATTGTATGCCATCAAGCATACATTAACATTAACAAAAACAATGTTTCATTAACTTAATATGATAGTACTGTTTTGTGAAGTTCAGACATGAATTTAGACAACATGAAGGTGTTTTTAATAACTTTAATGCCTAAATGTACCAGTGTCTATCATCTGATTAAAAAAATTCTTTTAACTAAAATTAATCAGAAATAAATCATCATTCTTTAGTATCATATTAATTTTCTTAATAAATTTGGTGTTTCTGGTGTGATTAAAAAATTAAGTGGTAGGTGACTACACTTTCTGTTGGAAAAGAGCTCCCTCAACATGCATAGGTAACCTAATACACAGAAAAGAGAGATTAAATAACTATTTTTTTTCGGGTATCCAAACTCAAAATCCTACTGTTTAAAAATCAGAACATACTTGCTTCCAACCAGTGATAAATGCTTGCAGATTTAAAAAATTAGATCCATGAATTTTCTTTAGATTGCTTAATGTGAGCACTGAAGGCATTTAAAAATCTATTGCAATCTCTGTTAGGTCTATTAAATATAAAATTAAAGATATATTTAAAAGAATGCAAATAGTAACATTTGAGATAATAGAATACCTGTGAAAAACCAGAAATTATGTGTGAGTCTGAAAACAGAACCTTATAAATTACTATTTTTCTTCTTTTTCCTTTTAGGAAACATATGGCACTCCATATCTTTCAGTAATGCAAACATTTTCCATGATGCTAGGAGATGTCAACTACCGTGAAGCTTTCCTTGAACCAATGCTTGTTGATAAACTCCCTTTTCCATTCCTGAGTTTTTTAATTCTCATTCTCTTTTCTCTGCTTATCCCAATTCTTCTTATGAACTTGCTGGTAAGAATTAACTATATTAAGGTCAGGTGTTAACAGCATAACTTGGAACTTGCATAAATTTATTTTATTTTATTTATTTTTTGTCTTTGGAATATATATTACCGGTACTAGAGATATGGAGGGAGCAGTTATTAGGAGCAAATAATAGGCATCAGCAACATTTGCCTTTTGGCTTGCTGAGGGCAGAACTATTATGGTCTTGTATTTTTCCTAATATGGGAAGAATCTTCCTTTTAGCCCATTGCAGTCTATTTGACTAACAAACATTAGCCACTGTCTGCATTTCTTAGGAGATTAATCAAAGGAATGTTAAAGAGATTGTACATAGGAATTTCTGCAGGCAAATCAGACAGCTCTACCTGTACTTCCTTTAACGTATTATTTATGATGCTTATAGTGAGTGCATATATTACAACAAAACTGCATGACTGCCATCCAGAAATGGCTCAAGTGGTATTATGAGAATGTTTATTATCCTTCTTGAAATAACTCCCATTATCTCTTACAAACTCAATGCAAGGGTACTAGAAAAAGCTACTTTATAATAGTTTCCATATAGGATTATTGTAGCATTTTGGAACTGTCTTTGAAAATCTGGGTGACTCAAAATATTGCATCTAGGATGATTATAATTGGAATTGATATCTATTTGCATTTTATTTCAAATTTGTTCAATTTAGTCTATTGGGGATAAAGTGAATTAGACAAATGAAAAGCTTTTAATGGCTACTGATGAAGGAATCCAAGGCTCTCCTTATTCGAGCTGGACTATCAACTCAGATTATCACTATGAGATCCATTTCTGATAGCTGATGAACTTTGAAATTAAAAGAGAAATATTAAGTCAGTATCTAAGCCTGCAGCTTTTTCTCATAACGGATGGGTAGACATCCATTATTTTAGTTATTGTACAAAACTCTGTCTGGATTTGTATGCAAACAAATATTTTGATTTATTGAATATGTGTTAGGTTCCTGTTATGATAGTAGGACTTTTTAGTTTTAATTTTAGTAAAGCTACAATTTAACAGAAAGGGATTGAAATATTTGGAAAGCATAAAAAAAACACCTTTGCTGATTCTGATTTCTGTGTTGTAGATTGGTTTGGCTGTTGGTGACATTGCAGAGGTGCAGAAGTTTGCTGCAATGAAAAGAATAGCAATGCAGGTTTGTGAAGTGCATGATAGATTTTATATTGATTATATATAGGAATTAATATTCCCCCTGTTGCTGAGAAAGTAAATTGAAAAAATTATTGGTAAATTGCCCAAATTATTCTTCTTACAAGTTATGTGAAACCCTAGTACAGGGGTCTGCAACCTTGACAACTTTAAGACTTGTGGACTTCAGCTCCCAGAATTCCTCAGCCAGCATAGGGAACTGAAGTCCACAAGTCTTAAAGTTGTCAAGGTTGCAGACCCCTGTACTAATAATATAAATATAAAGAAAATAAGGAACCTTTAATGTATTAAAATCCAACAATGAATATCATAATATGTACATACATATACATCACACTATGCCCTTTGTTAGTATGTACCATTATGCAAAGCATAGATGTGACATAAAAATAGTGTTCCAAAGAAATTAAAGGTGCATGATAAGAAAATAAGAACTGCAACAATGTCTCCCTATTTTTTTAACTCTGAAAATCATTCTTACTCTCATCATGTCCACATATTGCTTCAGACATTGCCTTCTGTGATATAAATATTTTCATTGTATCCGTTTCTAAGGACCTTATCATCCAACCATTTGGTCTTTACCTTATCACATTCTGAAAAATCCCAGTCCAACTAAATTCAATTTTTATATTTTCCTTACAAATTTAATTCACATTAATTCCATGTATTGAAGTGGTAAAACCATGCTTATATTTGCAGTTTTACTTCTCTTGACAAATGTGTTATTTGCAACAGACCACATACTACAAGTACTACTACTTTTCTGCCAGCATTTGGCCATCTTAAAATTTATCCATCCACTTTCACTTTTAGCAAACATCCTACCAAGTTACATGGATTCTTCTGTTTGTTTTAATCTTTTACCACTTAGCTATATCGTGCAACTTATTCTATTTTTCCTGTCAAATACAATTAACTTGGTATTTGATTCATTAATTTTCATATGAATTTGTCTGGTTGTTTCAGTCTAGCTAATATTCATTGCAAATGATGTTCTCACCCAATAGGCATAATTGGCATATATTCACATCCTTAAGCATCATGTCATTGCCGTAAGCCTTTATACTTTTATCATAAACTTATTAAACAAATAAGAAACATTATAAATCTTTCATTTGCTTCCTGTTTGATGTTGAACCATTCACTAAGCTCTCAATATACTCCCACACATATGTTACCTCCATTATATATTCTTAAGCCGTTGAGTAATCATCGACCTCATATTTGTATTAAAATGTTATATTGTAACCTATAATTTTTTCATAGATTTAGATTCATAGAAAATAAACTTTCTCATTTTGTATATTTCTCAATGATTAGTACAAATGCAATCTGCAGTCAATGATAAGTACAAATGCAGATGCCCTGCCTAGCATGAAGCGACTTATATTTCCAGAATTTTGTTCAGTGCCACCACTATATTCTTTCACCAGAATTCTTCCTAACATCTTCCCAGGCATAACTAATCCTAAACTTTTTGTCTACACTGTTGCTGTTTTATATAGGGAAACAATAATAGCATTTTTCCAGTTTGAACCCAGATTAAGCCTGTCATACATCCATTCCAGAAGAAACACATACTTAAACACTTCTTCAGACATGCCATCTATACTTGCAGCTTTGTCATTTCTCAATGTTCTCACCTCATTTATAATTTCAATTTCTATAAAATTGTTTCAGTCTATGACATATACATTTCAGTCTTTAACACATCACTGATATTTCTAAAACACTTTTTCTAGTATTGCCTCTCCTCATTTTTTCTACATCAATAACTCTATTCAGGCTCCTTAACATTTGTTTCTCTTATATCCCAATTTACAGTCCTTTATGCTGCAGTTCTTGCCAGATTGCCCATAGATATTTCAAAGATAATGACATCTACCACTTCTCTTGGTTAATTGAAGTTTTCATGTAAAGTGTGTTATTAAGATTAGTTGTCCCTTTGCCACATGCAATATTCCCAGCTAATGATAAGAACCAAATTAATTAGTTTGAGTATACTTTGATCAGGATTGCACAAGGACAACTAAAGTCCAATTTTGTCTTAAGTACATTCATGCTTTTCTATGCAATCTAAATATTATGTTGCTATCCAACACACTTTTGCTGACATGCTACCTATCTAGAGATATAATATGTACCTTTTACTAATATACTCTAACAATGCCTGCTATGGTGCCAGCTAATCTTTGAAATACTTAATCCAAATATGGATTAAGCATGGATTTCCCAGGATTGAAAATTTTGTTAGCATTTCTAATTATTTTAAAGCTTTATAATATATGAAACATTATCCTTAAGCCATAAGCTTTTAATATGCTGTTATGAGAAATGATCTGACCAGAGATTAATTTATCAATTTTTCTATTCATCTTTTTGTGAGGAGAGATGGAAAACCTTAACTTATTTTCTATCCAAAAAGGATACTCAACATTACCTATGCTTAAAGTTATAGCAATTTTTCTACATTGCATGCAGAATTAATATAGGGAGTGAATGGACAGTCCAGTTGTAATGGCACAATTTTTTAGTTTTATGCTTATAGCAAATTTATTAAAGATGTATTTATTTTTTTTAGATTAATCTTCATACAAACCTGGAAAAAAAACTGCCATATTGGTTTCTCAATAGAGTTGATCAACAATCCATGGTTATATATCCTAATAGATCTAGATTTGGTGGTGTTATGGTAAGTTAAAAACAAGAATGACTGGCTTTTATGATTTTCATATGCCTTCCCAGCCTCAAAACAGGAGGATAAGAATAGACAGGGCCAGACTAATACAATTCTTTTTCAGTTTTTCAATTTTGTAATGATTGCAAAGAGCTAAACTGTCAATAAAACTCAAAGCAAAGAGAAATTGGCTCTCATGATCTACAGTCTGTTACTTCTTATTGTTGCTTTGGCAGTGAACGCAAGGAGGAAAGATGCTGGTCTCTTTCCTTTGCTCTTTGCATTTCTTTAGTCTCTTACTAGAGCATTAGAAGAGCTAAAAAGCAGAAAGGTCTGACAGGCAGGTAAGCCAAAAGGAGAGAAGTTTGAAGTTCACTTGGAAGATCACCAAAAGAATCAGAGAACAATAACTTCACTGCAAAGTTGATAATATAAATATGGACACAGCAGACTCATAAATGGTTTTGGAATAACAGAATAAGAGAGTGGGAGGGAACTTGGAGGTCTTCTAGTCCAACTCCATGCTCAAGCAGGAAACCCTATACTATTTTAGACCATGGTATCTCTTTTTAAAAACCTCCAGTGTTGGAGCACTCACAGCTTCTGGACATAATTTGTTTCATTCATTAATTTTTCTAACTGTCAGAAAATTTCTCCTTAGTTTTATGTTGGTTCTCTCTAGTGGTGGGATTCAAATCCCTGAACAACTGGTTCTCTGTGTGGATGCAGGCCTGGGCCTCTGAAGCCTAGAATGGACTTGTGGAAGTGGCATCCTCACACTTCTGTTGGACCATTCTAGGCCTGGGAGGCCTCCTCCAGGTCTCCCAGGCCTAGAACAGACTTCCAGAAGTGGTGTGCATTCAGCCGGTTCTCCGAACTCAACAAAATTTAGCTACTGGTTCTGCCGAACTGGTGTGAACCGGCTGAATCCCATCACTGGTTCTCTCCTTAATTAGTTTCCATCCATTGCTTCTTGTCCTGCCTTCAGGAGCTTTGGAGAATAAAGAATAAATAAAATATTCTACTTGAGACACTTTATAAACGTCAAAGAAGTTTGATTTCTTAAGTTTGTTAGAAGAATTTTACCATTTCTATCAATTCTTTTTTTTTTAAAATAGAGCATGTTCCAGTATTGCTTTGGATGGGATAATCTAGCATCTGATGCAAAGAATGCTGATGCAGCAATAGAACTAGAACTATTGAAACAGAAGTACAGGTATTTGTTAATTCTGTGGTAATTCTATTAGTGGGGAAATTATAACCAGTGCTTTTTTTGGAAAAAAAAAAAAAAAGGTGCCGGAACTCACACATGTCATATAACCCGCCTTGCCTACCCTACAAGTTTCCATCCCAAAAAGGTGCCAGAACTCCGTTCTGGGCATTCTGTGAGAAAAAAAAGCCCTGATTATAACTTTGCAGGCTAAGGACAGTATTTTACTTTCAAAAGTATTATTAAAAAAATGATAGAAATGAATGTGGACCTTATTTTTAATGTAGGCGCAAGCATTTTTCAATAATTTTTGTACTATATTTCTGAGAATCCTGGGGGTAGTAAAAAAGTCTGACATGCATCTTGGACTATGTTCTTCACTACAATCAAGTCAATCTTAGAACATACAAAATTTCTCAATCTTTTTAATTTTCAAAATAATATTTATATATATTTATATATTATGAAATATATAAATTGAACCGCCTTTTTTATTCATTTATTGAGAAGGTAGTGATCAAATGACAAACTGGGTTTATTACAAACAGCATGGATTCAAATCTGACTTAAAAGAAAAAAGAACTTGACCTAACGTAAGGAAAACATTCCCTATAGCATGTGTAGGGTTAACTTTTAGTAAATACCAACTTCAATGCAGTACCCAAGAAAAATGGAGCTGATAAGCTGTTCTCCATTATTACAATATTAGTCTGCATTGGTTGAAGAACATAAATCTTTATCATTCCATCAAAATATTCCAAAATATGAAGAAAATGTAGAAAAAGGGAAGCTCTGTTCTCCATGGGAATAGGCCGTGTTTGTGGTCATAACCCTTGAATTAAAAAAGCTTGTTTCAAATCAAATACTTTTAAAACAATTTATGTATGTTGTTACTTTGAATTGGTGTAAATCTTTTTTTAATGAAAGGTAAAATGTTCTGCAAAAGGAAAAGAAATCTTATTCTCAAAATAATTTAAAGTGCATCATCTTCAGAATAGATTAAGTATCTTAACAATCTTTTCATATTTAATATAGTGAATATTTAATATATCATATGTAATATAATATATATTAAAATGTGCACCTTCTTTTAGGTTTTCTGACTGATGTCAGTGGAGTTAAGACAAAAAAATTAAATATATTTTAATTTCATTTCATTTTAATTTAAATATTAGTAAACAAATTTTAGAGTGTTTTTTGGAGTGTGAAGTTGTCCATGCAGCTCTGAGGCCCTCATTGTCAATCCTGGTGTAGCTTGTATAACTTAATCACTTGTCCTATAACAAATGTATTTTTTTGGTCTTCAGGCTTAAAGACACTGCAAATATGGTAGAAAAACAGCACGATCTCCTTAAACAAATTGCAAAAAAAATGGAAGTAATATCTGTGGTAGAGGATGAAGATCTAAATGATTCGCTTCAGAGCCAATTTAGGAAAGAGCACTTTGAAAATACGAACAGTAAATGGGACACAGTGTTCAAAGCAGTGAAATCATAATGTACCTGATTACAATTATCCTCATATTTTGATAAAATAGCTTCTTAGTAGGAAATGAAGTTACCAGTGTGGTATTTTAAGTTGGGGCAGAAGTTACCATTGTGGGACAGTAGTATGTCAATGTGGTTTGCGGAATTGATTAGCATGTCCCTTCAATTCCAGTCAAGCTGGCTAATAAGCAAATACTGGGCTATATAATGCTGGATATTCCCTTCCTGTTGGCTCAGTGTAGATGATTGCTTATTGTCAGGTTGCAATAGTGGCTAGCCAGGACTAGCTGAATCAAAACTTATTTCAGCATAACTATCATAAGTTTCTGTATTCTATATTTAAAAGTCTTTTTTCCAGCTGCATGGTATAATGTTAATTTAATTATTACCATATACTAAAATGTTTCCAATAGAGAAAAATATAAAAGACAATAATTTAGTTTCTTAAATATTAACGCATAGCATAATTAATGCTGTAGCAGCTTTGCTGATGAATTCAAATCAAACTAACCCAAATTTATCTCTCTGGAATGTCAAAGAGATTAATATGATAGTTGGCTTCTCAGAGTGTTCAGTCAGATCAATCTCATCACATTAAACTGGTTTTCCTGAAAGTATGGTAATAGGGAATATTGAAGATTGACAGTTCAGCCCTGAGCTACAGATATTCTCTTCTATTGATTCAAAAAAAAAATTGGTTACAGATCTATAGCCGTCAACTTGTGCCCATTTTTGGGAGATATTTCTAATAATGTTTGGAACATTATATTTACTCACACACTAATCGGCTATCCACTCACATAAACTAGGGAGTGACCCTAACATTTTGAGAACATGTATTTTCTTAACAGGGATGTTATTATTTACTATTAATGCTAGTACTATTTATTATTATTATTATTATTATTATTATTATTATTATTATTATTACTATTACTATTACTATTATTATTAATATATTGTAAAAAGTGATGGCTATTACTGGTCTATGACAATAATAAAGTTATTTGTAATTGTTCTTCTATTGATTCAACCCTTCCAAAGAATGTGCTTGCTTTGAAATAGGTCTTTGTTCATGCCAATAAACTTTAAAAGCACCTCTTTTAGCAATAGCAATAGCATTTAGACTTATATACTGCCCTGTAGTGCTTTATAGCACTCTCTGAGTGATTTACAAATGACAGCATCTTGCCCCCAACAATCTGGGTCCTTATATTACCGACTGCAGAAGGATGGAAGGATAAGTCAACTTTGAGATAGTCAGGATCTGGTGTGTGGGCAAGTTAGCCTGCAATACTGCTTTCTAACCACTGTGTCACAATGGCCCAATGCTTTTAAACGCTTTGCACGTGAAATCATTGCTTTTACATCATATGGCAAATTAATTGAGTAAATGATATAAAAGGATTTAGGTCTCTTTACCCAGTGGTACATTCATTATGCCTTATAGAAACATAGAAACATAGAAATACAGTCAGTGTCATATACTAGTTAAAATGACAACTAACTGCAGATCTACTCAGATGTAAATTCCATAAAGTTCAATGGACATGTTAAGATAATACAATCTAAATATATGATGAGCAATGTTATCTAGTAATAAAATATTAGAATAAAAATATTAAACTATTGTATTGAATAAGTTCTAACTAATGCTTCTTTTAGTTTTAACCCAAGGCTGGCTTTGTTGATTATATATTGTTCAACAGATAAAATAATGTTACAATTTATGTAAATGTGAAACACAATAAAGATATTGTAATAATCTTCCTGCTTCAATAAAACTCCTAATTAATAAAACTGCTTATTTCTATAGCATTCATTTGTCTTTTTTTCTAAAACAAGAGAAATAATACATTTTATGCATTTATGTATGACTTCTTCTAGTAATGACTGTGATTTTTAAAATCTGAAGAGCATTATTTTAGCCATTCAGTTAATTCTGCTTTCTTTAAAGGTGTCAGGAAATTGCTATTCCACTTTAGGAATCCACAGAGGATTTACTCATTTGAAAATATCAATTCCTCCTTTTTCTGCAGGACTTAATACACAAGAATTCTACTCTCCTTTCTGAATCTGCCTAATGTTCCCCAATTGCCACTCTTGTATGGCACTTGCCACATATGTTGAAACTAGAGTTTCTAGAATTGCCAGCTATAATCATCAAAGTCACACTTTCATTTACAAAGAATTTTGTTTTACTTGCAGATGTTTTTAGTTTTCAAGCTGAGTCACCTTCCCCATCTGGGGCTCTCCAGATGTACTGGGACCAAAATTCCCAGAACACCTATACAGGGCAGATTGATCTGATTAGGTTTATATGCAGGCTGATGCAAAGAAATGGCAACTTTTTGTAATGTATATGCCATTATTTTCAATATTATTGCATTGCATAGAGCAGAGTTGCTAGGGTTTAACAGCAAACCATCACACGTAGATATGGAATATACCACATAACCATAAATTTATTGCATCTGATGAAAATATTTTCTGGAGATGAAGATACAGTATTTCCTTTTTTCTCTTTAAGCCTAGTAATTTTGTGTCAATTCTTTTTAAATGACTTGTATCAATTTTTTTTAATGTATTTTGAGGCTATGATTATGTAGCAAATAAATATTGGCAGTGTAGGTAGTCTATCGTAACACTAGATGGCAGTGAATGCTAGTATTTCCTATGAAACGTTTAGTTGGCTGTTAAAGAATTTGGTAGAAACGACTGATTTTAGTTTTATAGAATATGTTCTAAAGTAAATGTGTTAAGACTCTTTAAGACTGGTTTGGGACAGATTATCCTGGAGAATATGTAGTCACTAAGAGCTGACAGCAGTTGCTGGGACATAATTACTGAATTTAAGAAAAATAGTAGGAATGACCCCTTATTTGGTGATGATTTTGTTTAACAGTCTTTTCTTGTCTTTTTATTTAGCAAATCATTTTTAATGACATTTTCGTGCTTTTGTGTTGTGCTCAGTAAGTAGCTTTTTACATCTGGAGACTGGGAAAATGAATCTGCAGCCTTCCTCACTTCCAGATGCATAGCTAAAGTTAATTTCTGAGCTAGAGTGGATTTGCCTAGCAGAAACAACTATTCGCCAAGTAGCGTTAATGATTTTCAAAGTTTCAAGTAGTTTTATTTTATTTATTGTGAGATAGATATACAAAAAATTCACAATCAGGGAAAAACACAACTGTCTTCTACAGATAAGGGTAAACACTAAAATAACCATTGAGCACCGTCTGACTTCTTAATGATAATATGATTAAAGGAATACGCCAGCAACATTGTTTTGGCTAGTAGGAAAATACTTATTAAAGTAGACTTGTATTCTAAGGTTATAAACCTAAATCTAAACTTAGAGATATTATGTAACTGGGTATTAATCTCCTTATTTGTTTGCTTCTGTTATATCCTGCTTGTTGTTCAGGAGCTGCATTCATAGCTGTCCTTTCCCTTTTTATTTTTTCCCACAACAATAACTGTGCAGTACGTTGGGGTGAGAGAGTATGATTGGGCCAAGACCAGCCAGTGTGACAGACAGACAGACAAACAAACAGATAGACAGATCAAAAGTACCAGAGCTTCCAAAATTGCTGAATAATGCAGAGGCAACACTAAATAAATGTAATTAATTAATTAAGAGCAAGGTCAGCAAATCTTAGGAGTAAACAACCTATGTAGACTGTGGGTGGCTCCCTAGCACCTATTTTGCAGCCCTTTCAGCCCCCCTTCTCAATATTATGCCACCAACATTAAGTGGGAAATAAGCAATTTTCAGTGGCAGTGTTTATAATTTACATTATAATGCAGGCTGAGTGACTATCAGTATACTTGCTAGGTTGATGGGATGTGGAAAACAATATATTGGTTTGCAAGGTAGACATCTTAACTTTTCTAGAGTAGTGTGAGCATGTTTGGATAAAACTTGTGCTTGTGATATGTGGGTCAAAATGTACCAAATTGATCAATACGGAGCTTAATATTAGTAGGGAATGAACGTTGCATGGATATCACTAATGGTGGTAACTGGCTTGTTCCTTTGCTATATTACAAATATAATTATCTGGCTGGCTCAATTAGTCAAAGTCTTGTTGGATGGCAAAAGTAAGAAATATTTGGTGCCAGCCATAGAGTATGTGTTATTGTGTCCCAGAATAGAAGACCACAACAAATGAAAGAAATAAAAGAAATAAAAGTAAGAGAAACTAAGAGAAACAGGGGGGATGTAACAGATCTGAATTAAAGTTCTCATCTTATCAAATACTGGAAAGAAGATATAGGTGCACTGTAATTCTGAAAGAGAAAAAAATATATCTCAGAAAGTACAAATTATTGTCACTAAAACTATGTCTGTGTTTTAAAATAGAATTTATAGGTTGATAATTCAGGAATTTGTGGGAGAATATGCAAAATTCTGGATGAAGACAATTTGGGGAGAGAGAATTCTGTTAGATGAAAGGAATTAATAATGAAGGAATGAGTTGATAGTAGAAAAACTGATAAGGCCATTTGGAGACCTAAGAATAAATATCAATGGTGGCTGGAAAATATAGACTGCCTAAAATACTTGGTTTAAACCACAGATATTTACTGGAACACATGGCAACTGAATGAATATCAATATAAAACATAATTGTTTATAAGGAAAGATTGAGAAAATTAGTGAAGAAATATAATAAAAAATTGGAATGTGGAATACACAATTATTTGGAGTGTGTGTGTAAAATTAAAATGTTAAAAGACATTTTAAAATAGCTACCATTTTTAATGTAGGACATAAACTAAATAGCAATTTAATTATATAACATTACTATTGTGTAAGGCTATATGTTAAAAAAGCACTGTTATATTAAAAGGACTATATAATGAAGCAAGCAAGGAAAATATGTATTAAACTTCTCAGGAAAAAAAGAAAAAGACATTAAAACCTCAATTAAAAAAAGCAAAATAAAAAAAAACAGACTGCTGAATAAAACAAAAATACCACTTCATCTAACACTGCTGAAATGATATCTTTTTATAAATATATTTTATATATTTTTAATGATTATTCTTTCTTGAAAAATGCATTAAATGTAGACCATACAGAAACATGTTGTCTGTTCATTCAGTACAATGAAATTCAAAAGCTGATGTTCACAAATTTAATTATTCATTTAGATTTTAGAATACAAACATTCTTGTATAAGTACATAATCACAATTTTTTGCAATATGTTGTTCATAAATTAAAAGGCCAAGTTCTTCATAAATTGAAAGATACCAGATTTTTGGCATGCATATATTATATATATATATATTCCAAGAATCTGGTTCACCACACTGATAATAACTAACCAATAATAATTACTAATGGACACACCCATAACACACATGCCAAAGTTTTTTCAAATTTATTACTTCTCCAAAATAGAAAGGATGAGAACCAACCTTTTAAAAACATTTTTTGAGGAGTCCCAAAGACCCTAAAGAGGGATTTTCTGAACTAGATGACTTTTTAAGTCTCAAGACTGACTCTCGGGAGAAAAATGTACATGGAAGATAAGGGGGAAAAAGTGAAACAACTTAGAGTAAACCACAATGACTGCAAAAAGGTACAGAGAACAAGATAGACCAATTTTACCTCAATAAGAGTAAAAAGTGCACATAAGGAAAGAGGATATGGAAGCTCCTGGGAACTGAATGAAATGAATAAACTTACATTAAAATCTATAGTTAAGTTAATAGGAATTAAGAAAAACTACAATTGGTAGAATTAAGAAGGAAAGGACTTAATGACAGACAGAAAAAGAATGAATCCTGCAAAAAATGAGGATGAGAAAAAAATACTGCATATTGTAGACAAGTATTGTCAAAAAAGAGGACAAAA